AACTTGTGCTGAGTTTGAATGATGTCCCTGGGAGGCTTGCTGCTTTATAAAGAAAAAAAAGGTGGTGTGTGAGTAGAGGGGATGGAGGGAGGAGAAACTGTAGTCAGGCTATATTGTATGAGATAAGATTAAATAAAACGAAAAAAGAAGACTATCATTCTCAAAAGTGACATCTTAGGAGTCAGTTACATTATGGGCTCTAAGCTCAGGTACATCATTCCATCACACTTGGCAATTATCCATCACTGAATTATGCAATTTGATGCTAGTGAACAAACCTTGGGAATTCCTGTTTGTACAGAATAGCTCCCAGTTCCAACCACCAAGCTATACTAAGGTCTTAGGCAGTGCTTGGAGGCAAATCAGAGATATATCAGATCTCTTTTCAGTGGTCGGTCATTGATACTGTTTGGGATTTTTAATTCACAGACTATAAGCTTTAGATTACGGATAATGAGACGATACAAGTATTCTAACAGCTGAATATTCATGCTATTCTGATGCAAGATTAAAGGCAATTGAGTTCAATTGTATAAAAGATGACAAACATGGTGAACACATCTTATTGCAAATGAGTTCTACAAAATAATCAAACATACAACAATAGTTAATCAAAATGAAGGTAAACAATTAATAGTTATTTATGATGTTTAAGTTATGGAGAAAATACTCTGTAGCTAATAATAATAATTCTATAGGTAATTTGATATGTTATTATTCTGAAATATGTTAATCCAAAATTTAAACATATTTGATTCTGAAATATTTTTTGCTTCCTCTATATAATTTTAAAATACATTTCCCAAACCTGTCTGATATTGATCTGATAATATATTTTATTATTTTATTTTTTAAACATCTTCATATCAAACAGACAGGCCTCAAACACCTCAGACAAGTGTTGAGATTAGTAATAATAATAACCCTGATTTATCCAGAGCTCCACTGCCTTTATGTGAAGATAATTGTAACATGCTGAATAAAAGAATATCTTTCTTAATCACAGAAAATTAAGACAGGAAGCTTTAAGCAAATAATAAAACTGTAAATCTTCATGAAATCAATTTGTGTAATAATCAAGAAGACAATTTCTTTGTTCTTCACTAATTTTCATCTGCAAAGAGAAATGTACCATTTGCACAATACAATTATTATTGGCTCAGTAGGAAACACGGTAGGTATGGGTTGTTCCTCTACAAACTCTGATGAAATGCTACAGTAACAGCAACCTGTGTGTGTGGTTATCATTTTATAATCTACTAAAGGGGTCTGAAGATGTTTCAAAAAACCACCACAGTACCATTCCTATGTGTCCCCTAGAAACGTTCTGAAATGTTCCATACAAATCTAACACATGTTCAGGATACTTAGCACAGAAGCAACTCAATAGCCTAGAACAACGCATACACGATAATGAAGCTTCATTTTCCCCAAATCATTGATGTCTAATATTCCAAATTATATTTGATAGATATAAATTATATTTATATCAAGGAATGCTTGGTAAATGTAAAAATAAGCATGCTTTACTTTACAGAAGCATGTAAAGAAGCACATGATAGCCTATGAACACTAAAACAAGTGTCTGAGGAGGGAAACATGTATGTAAGTATATGTATCTTATGAGTATGCAATGTCTGCTTTATTTCTACTGAAATATTCTCTCCTGGTAGTGAAAGAGGGACTATTGCTATAAGACTTGGGATGCCAATGGAACCTACAAGGCTAAAGAAGCTCAGAAACTTACAAGCCTCAGGACATCCAGAAAGTTAAGCTTCTGCATGAGGGTATACATGCAGTAGACAACTGCTGCATGTTCTCCCGTGGAGGCACCTTCATGTTGGTAGAGTTCCAGAAATGGACTTTTCATGAGTTTTATTCACAGTGTGGTGGGATTCTCAGTAATGCAGCTGCCTTTGATGTTCCTCTAAATAACCAAATAACCACTCACGCATGTTCTTGTAAGTAAACCCAGTGACCACGGTAGTTCACCAAGCCGTACTTCCAGGGAATATTTTTTTAAGCCTGTCATTGGTGCCCTGTCTCAGTTCAACAGACATTTGTTCTCATGTTTTCAGGAAAAGCTCCATAACACAACTGCAGTCTGAACAAGGTTCACAGAATTAGAGATGCCTTTGTGAAGAGCAGTTGCATGGCTCCTAAATTAGGTGATAAAGAATGTATCTGATACTGAAATGTTTGCGGACAATTCCAAAATGGCTACCTTGCTCCAAATGATATGGGGTATATATCTCCTTGCTGTAGTGACAGGTATGTCCCCCTTGCTAGGCAATTGCATTCAATTGGCATATACTGAGCCACCTGAGAGTAGAGAATCCTGAAATGTGGAGAGTCCCTGTTGTTATCTTGCAGTACTGTGGTTTTCATTTGGAGAATGGGATATCCTCCAAATGACGTAGAAGCTAGAAAATATATATCCCTGGTGATATCACACAGGAGATGGGATTATTAGTCGGTTGTGGTAGCAACTGCACAGCCCTTTCTCTGGGTGATAACATTTGTAACTTGGGCTCATGTTTCTGCCTACAAAGAACTGGTATACACAAGAAAGGTAGTACAAATGGGAAGCACACATGGGGACACTATTTTCTGCAGTAGTCTCTGGTTCAGAGGGGAAAATATCGAGACCAGAGAACGAGATAGAAGTGTTGGCTTGCTGTTTCCTGCAGCCAGCTATATGTAAGGGAAAAAGCACAAGTTAAATCTGCACTAAAAAGTCCTTTGTGGGCTCTCTAAACATAGAACCTTGGGAAGACTCAGAGAGAGATGGAGACAAAAGTGATAGAAAATAATTTTTAAGTATGGCCTTTAATACAGAAAAGGAAAATTCATGATCTAATGCACAGATGTGGGTCTTACTAATCGTTCAGTATAAGGATCCATGTTAATTGTTTGGGTTGTGAAAGGCTTTTGAACAAGAAATGAATGGTTTTAGAGTTTGGCTCATATAGTTGTGAGACATAGCTGCAGATGGGATCAGTCAGAGTGCCATGGAGTAGAGAAACTGAATAATTCAACTAACTACTCATGTCTTCCTGAGACAAAGGCTGAATAATCAAACACAGTATGGGGAAATTAGTCCCTGATAGACAAGCTCATTAAAGCCATTAGGGACAGTTAGCTATTGCCAACTGAGGTCAGCAAGAGTACTAGCGATTGAATGATCACAGGAAAAAAATTAGTGTGGAAAATGTGCATTTTACAGGGGTGTTTGATGCCTAGCTCACCTAGTCCGATAGAAATGTGATCTTAGGAGAATAAAGAAATTACTTCATCAGTGCCCTAGAGAATTGCATGATGCCTCACATTTTTCTAAATATCTTGATGAGGGCTCTAGCATATCTGGATGATTATACTCACATATAAGCTGAGTTTATAAGGCACAAATGCACTCAGGGGGAGATGAAAGAATTTGTAAAGATATAAAAAGAAAAACAGACAATGGATCCTATCAAAGTTACTCAAAAATAAACATGACAAGATTTTATAGAACTGGTGTTTCCAAATAAAAAATATATTTAATATGGATGTTTTAAAGGGAGAGTTTCGCTGTCATTAGTGATGGATGGACAGTTTGAAACCATAGTGCAATGCCTAGAGTCTCTCAGACTCCAGAATACGGGCCCAGCTATGGGAGGAAAAACCTAGATCATAGCTTTTCTTCACCTTATTCCTTAGGTATGTCAAGCAATATGAGCCATCCATACCATGACCATCCTAGGTAGAAATATGTCACAGTCACACAGTTGTGTCCCAGAGTAATAAAGCTGAGGGGTCATTAGTAAAAAGTGACTTTGGATCATGGATGCCTAGATGGGATGGTGAACTCATCCACATCACTAAATCTAACATTGTTCTTCCAATAAAACAGTCAATATTAGTGATGCTTCATTGGATCTAGAATTTCTTGACTTTCTTCCTTCCAAATCCACAAATCCATTCACATTTGTCTAAAATGACAGTGATCAATATGAAATCCTGTCTACATTCTATATATCATTTCGTTAATATAATGCTAACCTTTGAGTGTTTTACAAATCTGGAACATCTTAGAGCAACAGTAAAAACAACAATGAAAGAAAGAGTCTGTAAAAAGACGCACTGTATTGTTGGAAAATGTCACTCACAGGGGCTATGAGGTCACTGAGGGAAGATCTCACTCCTAGCAGTATCTATGTCCCTGAAATCCCATAAGCCATGATGGTTATTGAGATGAATGTTGGTTGCGTACCAGAATGGTTCGACATTCAAATCACCTCCTTCAGATTTCAAGGAACATCAAGGAAGAAGGGATAAAAGCAGTGTAAGAGTCAGGGGAAGAAATTTTAAGTAGGCATTTGTGTCACATTAAAACATTCCCTCACGGAGGGTGAGAAGGGAGCGAGCAAGGAAGCTCATAAGATTTAGGTAGCTAATGTAACTGCCACAACGTTCAGGAAGCTGAGAAAGTTACAAGACACAAAAGCCTAGCCTTCAGGTTATGCTCATAAGCAAACAATTGGGGAGAGAGGAGACCTTTGGGTGAAATTGTGTGCAGTTTGGGTAGGAAACTAGGCAAGGTGCTTTTGTGAATTGTCATCTACACAGGGGTAGGTCATTCAGTGAGGCAGCAGCCCTTGGATGAGCCAGGCTCTTATAAGTGATCCCTTATGTAGGCTCTTAGAAGTAGATCTTCACTATCCAAATTGGATTTGGGTGACATAATATTGCTTTGTTCTGCAGCTAGTGCTCTACCTTGGGTAAGCAGATGTTGTCTCATCTCTCCCTAAGGAAAGTCATGTAATAGTATGTTTTTAAACAGGGCTACACACTTAATGTACATGGGACATGGTCTACCTAAAACACAGTCATTGGATTTCCACAATGTATCCTCCACATACACCTAAAGCCTTGAATAAAGACATTACATTTGAAAATGTGTGCTGCAAACTTTGCCATTTAATTTCAGTAAAATTTCGAGTAATACTCCTATTTCTTACCTACATTTCCAGTCATTAGGTATGAGTTTTGAAAGTCCATCATCCCCAATCCAACAATGTGTATAAAATCTTCAATCACCTGCATTAACTCTATTGAGCCTGGATAAATCTGGAAAAATAAGTTCAAGTTATACTAGGTCAAAGTCCACATAATGGAATATAGAACGAGAAAGCAAGACATCCTTACATAATGAAAACACCATTGAGTTCTGATTTATTTGGAGAAATGTCTACAACTGGAATCGTCTACTAGCTTTTAAATTAATAGTTGATTCTGATACCAGGTTTCATACAGCCAGAGCTTTGGAAGTGAAGGATACACTGATTAATCTATCCAGAAGCTCATGAAAACTTAAAATGTCTAGTAGATTGTCTGCACACAAATATCATCATTTTATTTTTCACAAAATTCCTGGATTAAAAATAAAACACTGAAATTGGATTTAGCAGTTTTAGCTTAATATTTATATGGAGAACATGAGAAGAAAAATGTAAGTATTACTGCTATCGTGAAGATATTTAAAAATAGTAAATCCTTGGATAGTCAATACCTTGTGAGAAACATTTACTTCTAATAATTGTACTAGTCATTTTATGAACAACATTAGCAATAATTATAGGATTATAATCATAGCTATAATATAAATAATTTACAAGCATGCATGAAGGAAACAAATCTATGAGAGAGTTTTATACTTATTGTAGGCTAAAAATAGAATCTCAAAGATGCTAATAATGTAGCTGAAGTCATTGTGTAAGTTCATTAGTAATAGAGGCAGAATCTGTCTATTCTCTCATCTGTCACCCATGTGCTTCTGAACCTGTGTTTTCCACCTATCTACCCAGTCACCTATGCATCTACCTAATAGCAAGTCAACTTACATCCATGCTTTGAGCGTGCCCACCAACAGCACCGCACACACAAAAGGATTGGTTTTCTCAACCATACCATAACCTGGCAAAAGCTCTTAGTGTATGTAACAACAAAGGCATCCAAGAACATATATGCATAATCACATGTAAGCATTTGCATCACTGCAGAATCCAAGTGGGAAAATTAGGTGCTTCGAATTCTAGTGACTCTATTTTATAAATTCCAGATTGGGAGAGGAAAAGACCCGATTTGCTGGATAGCATAAGGCAAGAGCTGTGAGGTGCTGTAGGAATTCCTTTAGCCAGTGGCCTTTAAGATACGAGTCCACTTGGGCGTGGCTTCTTATAATACTATAAATGTTGATGTAAAGCATTCTCTCTCTCTCTCTCTCTTTCTCTCTCTCTCCCCCCCCCCCTCTCTCTTTCTCCTTCTTGATTCAGTTCCTGGGCCCCTCTCATGCAGAGGACTATGATCTGTGAGCCTATCCCTAAATGAATAACCCTTTATTATATGTAAGTCTGAGCTAGTGTGGGATTTATTTTGTAACTTTCATCTTGTACCCAACATGGATTAGGAAGAAAGGGGATTAACAGGACAGGCTGTAAATCTATATGTGTATTTTTCAAAGGGCTGTGGATGTTTCTTCTATAAATCAAATACCGCATATATACGAAATTCATCTATCTACTTATATATACACATATTCCACAGAAAATTGCAATATTTAACATTAGAAATATTTAGGAGGTTAGTTTTTTTCTCAACTATACATTTATTAATTAAATGGGAATTCTGAAGTGATCATCCCTGTCAGAAACTCATGGCTGAAGTTCCTATGTGCTAGAAAGATTCCTGATTCTGTTGTGTCCTGTTTACTTCCCTGTGTGAACTTCCTGTTTCTCATAGGGATGAAAACAAATTAAAAGTAAGAAGTTTAACTTTCACTTTCAAAACAGCACCTCCATTTCCTTTATTTCCACTTTTTTTTTTTTAAGAGTTTTCTTTAGAAAACTAATAATGGTGAGTAAGGCTCATTCAGTCCCCTTGAAACTTTGGCAAGTCTTTCTAAACTGGAAAAAAAAGTTCCTGCCATCTTAAAGACCCAGTAATTTCTTGCTTTGAAATGAAACCATCAAGGAAGTTGGTAGATGGTGTTTCTGTCCCTCAATGTCTTTTTTAGAGTACAGGGCCTAAATCAATGGCCATAGAAACTTGGGCTTCAAGTTTCAAAATTGTCTCCCAGTTCCAAATTGCATATAATTTGGAAGGATAGAGAAACTTATTTTCCTTTGGAGAAAGCCAATTAGCAAGAAAATAGATGGTACAATCACCAAGCTGATGCATGTATGACAGAAGCCGGTGAAAGTCTCTACTGCAGGACCCACAACTGTTTAGCCTGAAGACACATATGTGGTACCGTGCCTAATGCCTCCCTAAAGGATGCAGGAGCTTCAGTCTATGTGGCTGCTTGTCATACGTGTGCCCTCTGACGTCATGCTTGTTCATGACTAAGCTCTTCATTGTCTTCCATCATGGTTGCAGGCCTTTTCATGTTGGCAAGGGTCTAGTTTTTAATTACTGTTTGCCAGATATTATAGAGCATGGAATTGGCAAGCTTTTTTGATAAGGGCCTCATGGTAAACATCTCACAGTTTTCTGGTTCTAGGGACTTTAGTGAAACAAGCCACTTCTCTCCTTGCTGCAGAACAGCTATAGGTAGCAGGTGATGAACAATGTTGTTTACATAATAGACACTGGCTGAATTTAGTTAACTGGATGCAGTTTGTACCCTCCTGAGACAGAGACATGAGAGTGGACTTCCTTATATAAAGTTTAGAAAAAAGTTACATCACTTAAATCTACCGTCAACATCTGCCACAGTGTCTATGTATGTGTTTGTGTGTGTATTTATGTTTGTATGTATATATGCATGGGGATGTGTGGTATATTGTTATAAAGTACATTTCTCTTTCACTTCAGTAAGCTATATTTTCTCTAAGGGTTTTTATCTAAATACTACTGAAATCTTTTTAACGGGGATTGATGGCTAACCAGTGGGCTCTGGATGGATGTATTTTTCAGAAATGTACATGCTGTTTGTAAAATTCTGATAACAGAGTTACTTGTTTAGTTTTCTATATTCACACAAAGATTTATTTGCAGGGCTACTTTTGCTAAGTCTACTTCTCTAAGATAAAGAGGGATCAGAAGGATTATTTTTGGTAAATTTTAACCCCGCCCTTTTTAAAAGAAGTCACCTTTTGAGTCACATATGTTTATCATGTGGCTGTAATTATGATAACCACCTTTTCAGTGAAAGCTACAAAATAGCTTCCTTTAAAATTTCACACTGTCATTTAAAAAACATCATTAGGTATCATTTGAATTGAAAAAATACATTTTAAGAAGAAGAAAGCCAATCTCAAATCACAACTAAACAAATTATGGATTCATGATTTTTCCATTGATAAGAATACATGATACCATTCATTATTTGCTCAAGTTGTGACCTCCTGCTAAAGATCACCATGTGAAGAACTACAGCCTGGTTTTAAATAGAGTATCGTACATCCATTCTAAATATACCCTAATTAATAGCTTTCTAGAAATTTGTGCTCTGCTACAACAGCTGTATTCTGTGTGAAGACACCACTTCCTCACAGTTAGGGAACAATGCTGCCCTCTAGGCGAAGGCCAAGGACAAGTGTATAATTCAAAGAAGAAGAAAAAGATAGACCAAGGTTTAAAACTAAAAGGTGATTTTTTCCCCCCTGGCATTGGGCAGAAGCACAGAGTTGGTACCTGATAACGAGGCTGGCCATGCTGTGCTATTTGTGGATTTTCGATCATAGCTGGAATAAGGGGCATTTTTCACTTCTGAGGGCCTCACAAGGGATTAGAAAAAAGAAAGGATGTGGATAGTTTACATGAACTTCAGTAAATGCTCATTCTGGTTTTTTTCTGGAGTTCCTTAATCTTGGTAGTTTTTTTTTTAAACTGGAGTCAAGGAGAAAACTTAAAGAAGTTTCACGCTCAGTTATATTGCATTCCCATGGTGATTTAAAAACTATACTTCCCCTCTATTCCCCTGGAAAGCACCTTCTGCATTTTAGAAAAATAAGTCTTACAATTAGGAAAAGATGACAGAACGAGACAATTTCGCAGGACCTAAGTCACTAAAGAAGCCTGACAATTGAGGAAGCATAGCAGCAAGAATAGTCTGAACATGATTATGCACGGGAGTTGATGCTCACAACTTTTTCCTGAACAAGAATTCACATTAGTACACATGAGACAGATTCTGTGAAGCATGAATTCCTTGCAATTGTTTTTCTCATTAGTAAATAGCACAGCACTTCTATTGAGATATATGCTATTAGGTTGCCTTGTTTTCCCATTATCTAAAACCAGAAAGAGGTCTAGTGCTAAAGTACAAATCTGTCACATATTAGTTTCTTGAAGTTGCAAATTAGGTAAACATGCTTCTTTTTCCCCCCCATATGGTCACACAAAATTCCTCCCATGGCCTGATATTTTAAAACATGACTTGATTTCTGTAGAATTAATGTTTTGTCATTTATAACGATTTCTAAAATCCTTTTATACTCTTGGAGAATCAAACTATTGGCTTTTCATGTATATGTATCTAGCCAACTTCATCATAAATTTTAAGACAATCTCACCCTTACCTGCTGGGCATCTTCCCACTTCTCCTTGTTTTCTTCATCTAGAAGGTTGCTAACTATTTGAAAGAAGTTCTGAAAATTAAATTGGATAAAAAGTTTAGTATTTGCATGTGAGAATGTGCTCTGTAACAACACCTGTTTGGAAAGGTTACATCGCATGAATATCTGCAGCATTTCTTTACATCCTGACACATTCTTGATCTTTCAGGGGTCTTTTTAGCAACATGATTCTAAGGTCTCTACATATTTCCCATCTGCATCCCAGAAGCAACCAGAATAAGTAAAACACTTTTTGTTCACAATGATTTATTCTACTGTCACCTATATTATACTCTATAATGTCATTATACAATTATTCCTTGCAAATGGAATTTGCCTTCTCTAAAGAAGTCACTCATACTCATCAACCACAAGATATCCTGTGAACTGTAAACCACGGCCACTATTTCCTTGCTTCTAATAACAGTGTCATAAGACTATAATGATGGGCAAGCCCGACTAGACAGGCACCCTAGTTGAAATTCTTGTTCTGTCCTTCCTGATTACCGTATTTTTGCTTTTCAACTATCTATTGAAAAGAGTAAAGAAACATTCAAAATTTCTAGCGAAGAGCACATGTAGCAATGCAGAATAAATCTAAATGATTTTTGAATCACTAGCTTTTATCTCTGACATTTTTGAATAGGTCAGCATGTAACATGCTCTTTTTGAAGTTCCAAATCCTTACCAGTACCTTCAGTGCTAATGGACAAAGACCTATTGGTTTTATCTTCATCTATAATTATGCAAATGACTGTCTGGTTTTCTCTTTCCAGGCAGACGAGCTCAATCCAAGGTTCATTTTTCATTTGCTGTGAGCACTCAACTCAGTCCTGGACTATGATTTCCTATGTGACATGTCACCAGAAAGACTTGCCTGGGTTCTGCCAGTATGCAGTGTCATCAAGATACAGGAGTTTGGAGAAGAGATAAGGGTGCTTCTTGGTTGTTGACCTGAGACCTACAGTGTACAGCAGAGACATGATGCCCAGACAGCGGCTGATTGGCTGTGTCCTTTGTTGTATCCTATCTAAACTTCTTTGTAGGTGAGTAAGCAGGAACATTGCAGCTCGCTGACTCGCTCAGAAGCTTAGGGCAGGACTCCCCAGTGGGCAGAAATGATATTAATTTGCCAGTTTTGTTTGTCTTCTTTATATACAGCTTTTCAAAACAAGCATTTGCTCTCCTTCCAAATAACGTCACCTGGGTGTTTTTAGATGAGAAACAAGGCTGCTTCGTTTCCTCTGCTGCGGTTTGAAGCTGTTAGTATCTATATTTAATTGCCCTATTTGTGCTATTTATTTTAATAGTTCCTGGCAATCACATGGCTGAAACATGTTTCGAGTTATAACCTCTGTAAAAGTTTTAGACTATTTTATGCAGCTGCTGGGGGCAGGGGGAGGTGGTAAGTCTGCTTTAAACTCATTTTCAATGCATTTAACCTCTCTGCACTACCTGCCATTTCTACCACTTAAAATTTCTTGCTTGGAGTGTTAACATTTTAAGGGCTTAGTCCACTGAGCTGTAACTCTACCTATGAGCAGAAAGAATTAACCTTCAGAGTTCTTCAATTGCCTATGGCTGGTTAACTCAGTTGGGGACAGGAAGCTAATGAGGCAAATGCTGTAGGTTTCATCCCTGTGCATGCAAGATGGCTATGTTAAGGTCCATGACCTTCGTCTGCTTCTTAACCTCTCCAGCTATCATACGCAATGCATTCTGCTGCTAACAAGAGACACCAAGAGGAAAGGGGAAGCAATTTGTGCAAATGTATCTCCATTTCTGGAAAAACACTTCCCAAAGCATGTTTTCCTGACAGTGGGTCAGTGACTTCTTGCTATACATGAAGGCCGCTGCACACACAATTCCTTGATGAAAATAATGAATTCAGTGTTTTCTTTTTTAAAGTAACCAAGGGAGAAACATAAAAGCATGAATTATTAATCCAAATCTTAAACCAAGCCAGCATAGACTAGAAAAAACACTTTGTATTATTTTTCAGGAACAATAAACGGGCCTTTATTGAATCAGAGTAGGAAGGCAGCTCAGATTAAAGTTCCCCTGTGATCTCATAGCTGATCGTATTTCAGAATAATCAACAGCCATTTTCTGACTAATGCGGGCCATGTAGGACACAGTGAGATGAGTGAAGCTTCAGTCATTGTCTGGAGTCATGTGGAAGGCAGCTTTGGGCAGAGTGAATTTTTTTTGTACATCAGTTTATCTGTAACATTTGCCCATAGAAGATACCTAGTAAAGTTCAAAATTAAAGGAAAGTGTTACAAAGTCACAATGTCTTGGATTTGCACATAAGAAGCAACACCATTCTTCTGAACTAACAGTAACTCTGTTATCAGAATCCTGCTTGTATGAAGTGCACTCAGAACATGTATATTAAATTAGGCTATATGTTTTAATCCACTATGACTTGTCATACATGAACAGACTGACAGAATGAACAGATAAAACAAGACAGTGTTTGTAAGAGGAGACTGGTAACATTTCTGGACAACTGAAGGACTCCTGAGTAGTCTGAAGACCCTTCACCTACACAGTATTCATTAAGTGCCCTTGCATGCTAGAGATATTCTTCTTTTGGTATTAATGAATCCAATCATGTATGTCTGTCCCTGATATGTATCACACAGTAGCCTTTTCTTTTAGGGTCCATGTGCATGCCTGTGTGTGTGTGTGTGTGTGTGTACGTGTGTGTGTGTGTGCGTGTGTGTGTGTGTGTGTGTGTGTGTGTGTGTGTGTGTGGCTTTATTGAAACAAGGTTTGGCTATGTAGTCCTGACAAGCCTGGATCCTGCTCTAGACTGTGCTGGCATAGGGCTGATCCTGCTCGTGTGGTTTCTGTGTGCTCTGATAACATTAATGCTTTAACACACTGATCCCATGTCTTAGACTTCTCTCAAAAACTTAAAGTCCTTGGCAGAATCTCAGTGGCACAAAAACTGAAGAAGCAGATATATACTAAAATTTCCCTTTTGATGTTTTCTTTTAATTACAAAAAGAATAAAGTCCTGTTCTACTTTATTTCTCTAATCTGTAAAAGCCAGCTGGAAGAATTTTGGAGGTAATTTATAACACTATTCCTATTGCACAGAACCTGTTAAATATATTGTCTTTTATGACAGCATTTTTTGTATATTATCTTTTTTATGATTTGCTACATAAATTGTCTTTACTACTACATTATAGTGAATGCATGGCTACCATGTTGGTAAAGACTTCCAAGCTCATCTCAACTCCATTTGAATATCTCTATCTCTTGTGGCAACAGAGAAAACAGAACCAATTAAAGACTGACTTCAGCTTCTAAGTTTTCAATAGTTATCTCTCTTTTCACAGAATAAACCTGGTAAATTGGGTTTTGTACAGTGTAGTGATTCCCAGAGGTCTGTTTAGTTAGAGGTGCTGTGCCAAATGGCTGCTGGACACAAAGATCAAAGAAGTATGAATGTGTTTTCTTGGTATGAAGACAGAGAACTAAATGAATAATGGATAGAGAAACATAAACATCACTGTGACAATCAAGGCCAAGATTCCAGAATAAAAGAAGAACAAAAAGAACATTTCATTTTGTGGGTAGTAGTCTATAATATTGCTGTACTTTTGATTGGCTTCTAATTGGCAGATTTCTAATGGGCCATACATCAATTTGTGTAACTCATGAAAGAACCTTCAAGGTTCTAGTTGTATGAAAATTGAAATGTAGATTAGGCTAATGACTTGATGACCCCAAGTCACAGGAAATGTTCCCCTCCATCTTAATTAGCAAAATGTTTAGATTTAAAAGGTCAAAGATAACCCCAAAAGGAGAAGACCCTTGTAATGTAGAGGTAAAGATCTGATACATTTTGCTGGCTCTGTTCAGGAATGTTGAAATAACTAACTCTAGGAAAGCTTAATGAACAAGAAGAAGTTTCTCTCATTACTATAAAGATGAATAGTGTAGGATAAACCATTATTCGCTAACCTAGAGACTGGGTGATAGCTGCAAAGCTGGGTATGATGAAGACTCCTGCTGTCCTCATTTTTCCCTTTCACTGTTCTTCCCCATAGTTTGTCGATAATCCAGGTGTCTGAGCCTCATTCATTCCCCCAAACTTTACAGTCTGTCTGTGGATAAATACAGATTATAACTCTGCTTCTTGTTCTTTATGTTATAACTGGCCTAGAGAACATGGAGATATTCTAAAGAGACATGTGTGTCTCTCAATCTGATTATGAGACAATTGAAACACCGGATCCTGAAAGAAATGGGTATTTCCCCCAAGAAACTCATGCTGGAAAGAAGAAAGAGTATCAACCAAAGGGGAACTTGTTTCCCTGAAAGAAATCTCAAACAGCTGACTACCTTACTGCTGAAGGAAGTCTTACAGCCAGTGGTTACCCGCCCAATGGGGCGTGGCCTCTTATATTATATAAGCCGATGTAGAGCATGCGTTGGCTCTCTCTTTTTCTGGTTGTGGTAATTGGTTTCTGGTCTCTGTTTAAGCAGAGGATTATGATTTGTGAGTTTATCACTAAAGAAATAGTCATCTATTTCTCAATTCTGAGTTAGTGTGAGATTTCTTAGACGCGTCCTTCCACACCTAACAGGTTGAGGCTGAAATTCAGAAAATGATGAGTCAATGGTGAACCCACACCTTGCCTGGGACTGCTTAGATGTGGTATACTTAGTTCTTCATAGAAACATTGATCTCATTTCAGGGCACTGGAGATAGACTTGGGACTTAAGATGTTATCTGGAACTCTTTGTGCCTCTTCCTAATACAGTCACATTAAAGACATAGCATCACGTGCTTTTCATGTCTTTGTTTTCTTTGTTTTTCTGTTTAATTGATCTATCGTGGACAAGAACTCAAGCTTTGCTTATTAGAGTTGCCAGGGACCATGTTCTGTCTCTAAAAATTCTGGTGACAAGGATGTCTAAATATAGTCTTTAGATTAGAAGAAGCAAGAACTTCCAACACAGCACCTATGCCAAACACAAGAAACCTTGCCTTGCATCTCTATCAATGACAT